GCATATCTTCATTTTTGAGGTGGCCTGAACATATAGTTTCGGGCAGCGAGCCTCTGGTCCCAGGCCACCTCGAATTTTGGTGCATTGTTTAGCTTTTGCTTCATCTGAATGTGGATGGGAATTGTCGGGGGGGGTGGCCCGAGAAAGGTATACGTAAACTCTTGGAGGTGATGCTTTAGTGATTTTGGAGCGGGTGGTGATGCAAGAGTGCATTTTTTGCTTTTGCATGGTTACCTATGTGTGGGCAGAACAAGACATGAAGCAGATTTGACACGCGGCCGCAAGCGGCTGCGCGAGCTCATTTGATTGCTTCGACGCGCAGTTGTCGAGAAAGGGAAGCGCTGGCTTTCGTTTTGCAGCTTCTCAGGTTTTGAGTTGGCAGTAGCTGCTGTCAATTGTTCGGAAGATTCCATCACCCACAACACCCCTGTCGCTTCGAGGTAGTCAGGTGATACTAACACTGAATACTAAAAACTTTCAGTATTCGTGTGAGTAGTATTCAGTATTCAGTAGGGAGTTAGTCCTGGAGTAGCTATTCACACGGACTATCTGCCGCACACGTGTGACAGCGTGACCAGTGACGTCTTACCGCCTATACCGCTGGCATCCGCTGGCCTCCTTGAGTCACCGAGCAGTTTGGGTCAAACGTTTGCGATGAACTTGGTTGCCGACCCCAAAGGAGCCAGTCAACCAGTCTTCTCATTTTGGGGGTTTCATAGAACAAAGGCCCCCATGTCCTGCGGACCCTGATCCGCCCCCAGCCTCCTCATCGCGTGTGTCAAGACCTGGCGTTGTCCCACACATCTTTTCCCCCTCTTTCGAAGAAGCAGAAGAGACGCTTGGACCAGTGCTTGGACCCGAACTGCACTAAATGTGTGTCGCCTTTCATGGTCGATTTGCAGGCGCAACAGCTAGGTGCTGCGAATGAACTGCTCCTAGCAGATCGCACATGGTTTTTGGTCACCGTCCTTCATGACGTTCTGAAGGAGATCGTAATGTTTTGTTTCACAGGTCATTCAGCGACTAGCCGGAGGCGCCGAAGGCACACCAGGCGCAGACTTCTCGAGGCTCATGATCGACCTGCCAGACGTGTACCTGCTGGATAGATGGTCCAAGCAACCTGTGCACCCGCAATGGAGAACGGAGAGTTCGGCACCGGCGCCTCCTTGCCCTTTGCCAGGGCATTCCCAATGTGTCGGTTTTTTGAAGCGTGAGAACTCAAGTATTGGATGTGCCGAACCTACTCAGTCCATTGCTTGGGGCCGCCACCGCGTGCTTCTCCATGGTGCGGCTGCAAGTACACCCTGCTTTCCCACGTGAGTCGGAACGATTTTGGGGAACCAAGCTCTGGCGTTGAATGCAGCAATGGTTGGAAGCTTGGATGATTTGGCACGCATGCGGGCCTTTCTTCAGTTGGTGAGAGGGCGTCAACATGATTCTTCTACCAGGTTGACCCAAGACGTCCAAGATGTCAGCATGACTCATGACATACAATGTGCCTCCTCTTAGCCAGCTGTGACCCAACATTATGAGTTGGGAAGGGCCGAACAAAATTCTGCTGGCCCGTGCCCATCAAAACGTCATGTCTCTCACCTGACCTGTCATGGATTTAGACCAAGGTGCTACTGTTACTCAGTCTCCCCTCCTTCTTGTCTTCTTCTCGTTCTCCTTTGGCCATGTTCTCATGTCACAGCGAGTGCCAGCTCAGTCTGGGCATGCACGGACCTGCACACCATAGAGTCATAGAGATCTGCAGCGCTCCGAACCGCACACCATCGAGAACGCCAGACGATATGCCAGCTGGATGTTAGCAAATACGCCAGTTAGAGTGTCAGAAGATATGCCAGATAGAATGCCAGAAGATATCATGCCAGATAGCTGGCCGGAAGGGATTCCAGAAGATATGCTAGTTAAATACGATAGAATGCCAGAAGATATGGAAAATAGAATGCCAGAAGATTTGCCAGAAAGGGAGGTCAGAAGATATACTAGATAGAGTGCCAGAAAAGAAGACTTCAACCCTTTCTCTAAGGAGGCCTTTGCAGAAGCCATGACGACTGGCAATGGAACCGTTGAAGTGCACAGTTCGTGCTCGTTGACAAACACAACAGCTCGAGTTTACGGAACAAAAACAAATTGCATATATTTTACCATATTTTACCTATAGTAGACCTTTCTTCCTTTTCTCTCTACTTTGTTTCTAGCAGCGATGGCCTCCAACCTACTAGCGATGGCCTCCAACCTACTAGTTACTAGCAATTGCCGTTGAAGGCAAATGCTACACTTGTAGTTCTTGGCCCAATCCTGTTCGTACACCATGTGGACCGATGCCCTGACAGCGAGTCACAACTCTCAGTTTTTGCTGCTGACACGGACAGCGGCTTAGCCGCTGGACCCTCTACTCTACAGTGCTAAAGTCAAATCCGTTTTTTCAATCGAGAGCTCTTCCTGCCTGAGCTGCCATGTAAAGAAACCCTCCCCTGATGAACCTGGTCTTCCTTTTGGCCAGGCCACGGACCATTTCCCTGGGTAAGGGAATGATTTGGTTGTGGCAGGGGTCATCAACGAGGCCTCGGTTACAGCCCAGCAAGTTTCTTCGACGTTCCCTTCCTTCCCTCCCTCGCTGCTTTTGTTTCTTGTTTTTTTCCCAGTGCCACAGAGATTACAGCAGCAGGTGTGAATGACACACCGCTGAAACATCCACCCGGAATCCATCCACCCAACGAGCGAAGCCCACCCGTCCAAAAACGGTTGGCCCGTCCACGTGCCACCCGTGCTGGCTCAAAGGCTCATCGTGGCGACCGCTTGTTCGCTGGGCGCTGTGCAGGGGGACTTGGAGGGAGTGTAGCATCCTGAGGGCAGACCATTGATTTGCATCCCAACACAGAAGGTCTCAAATACAGATGTCCATGTTGCTCCAAAGAACGGAACACTTTATCGCAAGGCTGATTTGGAACACTTGAACAGGTGGTCCTGCTCCTTTGCTGGATATCGGGGTATTGGTGAGTCTTCCAAAAGGTAACGCCTTATACTGTATACTGTATGTTAGCTCATATTGAAATCGCCAGTTGCAAAGACAACAACAAAACAGAGAGTCATCAACCACAAATCAATCACAAATAGACAGACGCTCATCAACTTCAACCATAGTTGTCACCTGTATCAAATTGCATTGTTCAGGGCGGCATTGGTCGTTGGATGGATCTCCGATTTGTTATGAACGATTGGACACGGCGTCAGACAGGATCCAGAAGGGGACAGCGCATCCAGGCATAATGCGTCCATTCATCCCGAGTCCTTGTGTTTTTTTTTTTTTTCAAAAGGGTCAATATGCTTGCCATCGCAATGGATCTTTACACACCCCCTGATCTCTTCGTAGTTGCACAGTTAAGTTTGGTCTAGACAAACCATGACAAACCCAGTATGCACGCCATTGCATCAAATAGTTAAACCCACTGATTCCAGATTGTCTAGGACAGACATGCGGACATGTCCTATCATCTAAATGCTTGAAGGGCAAGTATTACACATAGTAGGATGTTCTTGGAGCCTGATTATCAGCACGCTACACTAGAAGACACACGCATGGAAGTGGAATGGGCATGGGTCGTTTTGAAAGGGGGTCGCCGGCCACGCCATCCATGTGTCCCTAGGGCGCGATCGGGGTACAACTAAGGCCTTAAGATGCATCAGAAGGTACGTAAATCCTTCGGGTTGTTTTGGGAAAAGTCTTCGTTCTTCTGGTAGCCTCCGCCGCACCTAGCTCAACCCCCCAATCGACCAAGGCCACCCTTGCACTTGGGGATTAAGTACAGCACCTTCAGCAAGGACGGGGAGACCTGGGTTTAGGGTTTAGGGTTCAGAGATGGATTCATGGTGCGAACCATTGCTTCACGTCCTTTCCGTGATGAACCAGGGGGCTGGAACTGGTTCACAGGGCCGAACCGTTGCTACTTGTTAATTACTACTAGCGATGCACCTGTTTCTAATAGCTTCTTGTTACTACTAGTAAGGCACCTGTTACTAGAAGTGATGCACTTGTTCCTAGTAGCTTGATTGTTGGTTGGAACGGAGTCGATTTCTGGACTTGGCACATTAGACTGCCTGTCTTAAGGTTGCTTTCGGTCCCTCCAAGAACGGACTGTTCGCAGGAAGACTCAAGCTTGTCGATGAAAAACCTCTTCTAGCGCTGAAGCCAAGGTTTTTGAATGGTGGATCCCAAACTCCCACCCCAAAAACCTGGTGTGAGTCTTTTTGTGGCTGTTTCTTGGTGATGTACGTCATTGATCCCCGTGATTGATTTTCTATGAAATGAGTATGTGTTTCCACTATGAAATGGTTCAGGGACAGTACATGTCATAAAAAGGTTAGTTTGGAAATTAGAACATAAATCTACACAACATCATTTCATAGAAACATCAACTTGGGAAAAGAGTATTGCTGCTATGACCATGCCAAAGTGAGATACATTTGGTGACAGATGAATGTCTATACGTCTACAATTCTACAGCAAAGCCTTTTTATAGAAAACACAGCGTTTTTACCAATGTCTTCAAACATGTTCAAGCACATCAAACAAACTCACAAAAAGAGCCGCCCGTATCCGTTGATGCATGTTTTTCCATTTCAGCATTTTGTGCTGGATCACTGCGCCTATTGTCTCAATATGTCTCAATATTCTGTGGCCAACTCAGTTTGTTGGAAGTTCTCGTATCAGTTCAAGGCAAAGCATTATATAGATCCAAGCCGTGATCTGTAGCTTTGTTGCTTTGACAGGCCTGGATAGGGCTATGCATTTTATGGAAAGGACTGTTGTTCATTTTATAGAGAATAATGATGCCCACAGTATTTCATAGCCGTTGTTGTTTGAAATCCTGCCAGGCCGTACCACCAGACAAGGGGCATCGTCATTGTACATCAGACTATTTGGGCCATCTATGTTGTGAGCCCAAGCCGGCCCAAACCGGCCTTTGCGCAGGCCGCATATCTTGACGAGATTTATGGCCCGGGTCTCTTGGCTCCCATCGATTCAAATGCGAAGGCAAAGTTGGTGGTCATCCGGTGGCGTTGAAGTCGAATCGATGCCAGAATTGGTTACTGTAGTTTTGAGGGAAAAGTCCGCAGGAAACCCATAGTTTTGGGATGTGTTGGGTCTGAAAACCATGCTTTCCTGCAGAGTTTCCCTTGAACCAATCCCTTGAATCGACGGTCCGAAATCGGAACTGTTCGGACCATTGATCCAAAGTCTATCTCACCCTGGGGCTCCACGTTCTCCTGAGGTGTTCGGTGTGTTTGGGAGTGGGTTTGGAACTGGTTTCGAGTCATGTGAAATCAAGTGAAGCCTTTCGTCTATTTTTGAGCTGGATGCTGGACTCGGTTGTAAGGGTGCCTTATGAATGATCAGCTCCCTGCCCCTACAGGGAAGCTTTTTCTTTGTTGCAAACCGCTGCAGGTGGGTCCCTGTTGCCCATATATGGTTTTGGATGGTTTGGGTCAGTCAGTGTGTGTTTGTCCATTCCCAATCAGCTGTTGGTTTACACGCACACACACTTCGAACTTGGGTTTTCAGTTAACGCAAATCACGTTGGGAAGGAAGGTGAAAGAACAGAAAGGTGCATGGGTCCGAGCACTTGAAACGTTTAACATTGTTGTCACAAAGGCGGCAGCAATCAAATCGGCGGCGC